CTGGAGCCTCCAAACTTGAGTTTATTAGTTAGAAATGGAAAAAAAATAAACATTTTTTCTGATTGTATCCTTGAGACATATAAGGTGAGAGAACTTTGATTTAAAAATACTCCCTGTGGACATACTTTCTCTTCTAAATTCACTCATTGTTAACTTAAAAATTACTTTAGTTGTGGAGTGATTAGTGACTACCTATGTTTAGAAAGTATAAACAAATCTTCTAAAGTATGTCTCTTCCACCTGCAGCATTTTCCACATTGCAAGATGGGAATGTTACCCAGTTAAACAAATATTTATCAGCTCGTGCAGTTGTTTGGAAAGCTGAAGTTTGTAATAATGAAAGTAGATGTTCTGTTTAGTTGTATTATCTCAGGGTTTGTCATCTGCCTGTTTTACATGAATGCATGAAAGTGAAGGAGATTGAAAGTTTTATACTTGTTATTTTAGGAGTCCTCTTGCAAAAGATACATTGGAATAGCCATGAAGCAATTAGAATGAACTTTATTATAAATGGGGAAGAACCTCTGAAAAATCTGTAGCTGACAGTTATTTTGTCTTTCAATTTTGGCCAGTGCGCATGTTTAAAGCTATATACCAGATGTAAGAAAGAGTATGAACTTTTTTGGTAAAATAATTTATTACTGCTAACAGTTGAAACACTTTCCCTTTGAAATCCTGTGCCTGTGTCCAGCACAGCCTGATGGACTTTTCATAACTCTCAATCTATAATAATGACTTGGATAAAGTAATTGTGCGAGCATGTTATAGAATCTGTACAGAGAAGTGGACACCAGAGCGTGTCACAGAATCTGTACAGAGAAGTGGGTACAGAGAAGTGGATTGCATTCCTTATTACTTGCTGTCATACTAATTTTCTACGATTCATGCACAAGGACACTTATCCACCTGCACCAAAGCATTTAGAAGGTATTCTCAATTTGGATAACAAGTTACCTTTCTTTTGTTTGAACCAAAAGGGATAACCTCATACTTATCCACGTTAAACTCCACCTGCCATGTTTTGGCCCATTCGCCTAACTTATTCATATCCATTTATAAATTTCTTACTTCTTTATTACAGTGTAGTTCCTCACCTATTTTAGTGTCATCTGAAAATTTGGCTACAGTAGCTTCTATCCCTGTGTCTAAGTAATTAATATAAGTTGCACATAGTTGGAGCTCAAAGACCAAACCCTGTGGGACCCCACTAGATACATCTTGTCAACCTGAAAAAGACGCATTTATTCTGACTCTCTGCTTTCTGTTGGTTAGCCAATCCCCTATCCAAATGAATAAGTTACCCCAAACCCCATATGATCTTAGCTTGTGTATTAACCTTTTGTACAGCATCTTATCAAATGCCTTCTGAAAGTCCAGATATACTGCATCTACAAGGTTCCCATTATTTACTTTGCTTGTTACGCCTTCAAAGGACTATAGCAAATCAGTAAAACACATTTTACCTTTCATAAAACCATACTGTCTGTTGGACTGCATTTTGACTTTCAAAATTAACTCTTCTAACTTCCTTAATAATTGATTCTGATGATTTGCCATAGATGTTAAATGAACTGGTCTATATTTTCCTACTTTCTGTCTCCACCCTTCATGAAGGGTGTTAAATTAGCATGTTTCCAATCCTCTGGAACCTTTTCCGCATGCAAAAATTTGGAATACCGTTGGCAGTCGATAAGCTATTTTTTTCTGCCACTTCCATCGAAGACCCTAGGATGTAAGCATTAGGCCCAGGGGACTTGAGTACCTTCAGTCCCAGTAGTTTGCTTAGTACCTTTTTCCCTGGTGATGATTGTTCCAAGTTCCTGCCTTTGTATAATTTCTGTATTATTATTAATATTGGGATTGTTACTGATGTTATTATTGAGATTATACTAGAATTCTCCACTGTGAAAACTGAGGCAAAATATTGATTTAGTATCTCTGCCATTTGTGGTCCCCACTATTAACTCCCCAGTCTCCAATGGGCAAACGTTCGCTCTGAACACTCTTTTCCCTATTATATACTTACTGAAGCTTTTCCTATCCATTTTTATACTTCCACGGATTTTCTTTATAATGCACCTTTGCTGTTTTTATTCCTTTTCTGTAATCATATGTTGATTTTCCAAATGGTATGCCTTAGTATTTGTCTATATTATCTTTAACTTTCTAGTTTAGCCATGGATGATTTTTTTTTCTCCTTTTACAATTTCCCTTCCGTCTGGAATATATTTCAGTTAGGAGGAATTGAACGTCTCCTTAAACATCAGCCACTGTTCATCAACTGTCCTACCCTTAATTCTCCCTGCATAGTCCACTAGGGCCAAATTTGACCATTTATTTTTGTAATTACATTTGTTTAACTCCAGAACACAAGTGTGCAACTCCGGTTTATCGCTATATAATAACTCAGGAAACCCAATTGGAAGGGAATATGTTAATTGTGAACGCCAAAATAGAGCCACTATTTATAGCATATGTGGACGAGTCCCAGCCTGGGACAGACAGTTTTGCAGACCCCTACTCTTTTTTTTTTTCCCCTAATCAACATGTTCAGAGATATTTTTACACACCTCTGGAACAGGTGGGACTTGAACCCAGACCTCTTGGTCCAGGGTTAAGGACAATACCATGGTGCCACAAGAGGGCCAAAGCCCTGCTTTATAAGGAGCTGTGGTGATGAGTTCCAATGGAGTAGGCATTGCCTGTTACTAAGCGAACTCATGCTCAGTGAGCTCCGTGAGGAGATTAATTTGTGATTTCCAATGGGCATTGTAAGGGTTATCGCATCCTCAAACTGAATTTGAAATTCTAGCATGCTATGATCATTCTCCCCCAGAGGATCCTTTGCTATGAGATCATTCATTCATCCCGTCCCATTACACAATACCAAATGCAGACTAACTTGATCCCTGGTTGGTTGCCCAATAGCTTGCTCCAAGAAGCAATCTCTAATAAATTCAACGACCTATCCCTCAAGGCTACCCTGGCCAATTTGATAATCCAGTCTGTATTGTTGTATCTTTCTTACAGGTTCACAGTGTTTCCTGCTTTGTACTGGTATCCACGGAGGAACTACTGTTTGGGAACATATAGATTACTGCTGCCAGGGACTTCTTTTCCTTGCTGTTTTTATTTCTACTCAGACTGATTCTACGTCTGGGTCTGCAGTGCCAACATTATTCTCACGACAGCACTGATCATATCCTTGACTAACAAAGCTACATCATCTTCTTTTCCTTCTGAAACACTGAGTACCCTTGTGTATTCATTTCCCAAATGTGATCTCCCTGCAATCACATCTCTGTAATAGCCACCACATCTTACTCATTTGTCTTTACTTAGGCTGTTAACTCATTATTTTTATTCCAAATGCTTCATGCACTCAGACACAAAGCCGTTATGTTTGTTCTTTTATCAAATTTCTCCACGTTTTATGATTTCCTGATGCAATATGACATACACACATCCAGTCTCTTTTATTTCCTGGTAACAATTAGCCTCAACACTAACCTGCACTGTTACCATCTTTTTTAAACTTTGATCTTCTAATTTTCCATGAAACTGAGCCTTTCCTTCCAAAACTTAAAGCGCTATCTACGGCCCCAGTAATGCAATCTGCTAGCACTCTGGTCCCAGAATCATTGAGATGGAGCCTGTCACTTTGAAATAATTCCCTCCTTCCCCAGCGCTGGTGGCAATGTCCCATGAATTTGAACCCGAGTGTTTGAGTATTGAATTCTTTGTCACAGGCAAAGACCTGTTCAATTTTTCCCTTAGATGCACAGAACTATTTGAAGCAGATGATACACTCTCTCGAAGTACACAGTGGGTTAATTACTGCCAATGAATCTGTGTGGGTTTTCACTGTGAACAGAGAAAGATGTTGAACAAACTTGACATAAAAATAAAGAAGACAAGAAATAGCTACAGAGTGACCATTCGACCACTCAAGCCTGCCCACTCTTCAACAAGATCACGGCTGATCTGCCTTGGGGTTCAACTCCTTGTTCATGCCAGCTCATCATAGCCCTCAATTCCCATTATTTCAAAAATCTGTCTCTCTTCTCTTTAAACACTATAATGATCAAGCCTCCACAACTCTCTGTGATCGAGAAATCCAATCATTCACTACCTTCTGGGAGAAGAAAATCTTTTGCATCTCAGTTTTAATTGAGTGTCTCCTCATTCTGTAGCTGTGTTGCCCAATTTGAGATTTCCTCCACCAGTGAAAACATCATCTCAACATTTACTGTGTCAAGTTCCCTTAGAATCTTGTATATTTCAGTAAGATCACCCCTCCTTTTCTAAACTTTAATGAATAAAGGCCTAACCTATTCAATTGTTTTTGATGTGTGAATCTCTTCACCCTAGACATCAGCCTAGTGAATCTCTTTTGGAACTGCCTCCAATGCCAGTGTATCGGTTTTAAAAATAGAAAGGCCTTACCAAAACCCTGTGCAGTAGTAATAAGACTTGTGTATTTTAAAACTCCAGTCTCCTAGTATTAAAGGCCTGAATTCTTGTCACCTTCTTTCTACACCTGCTAATTTTTTGTGTTTAATGTACTAGAACATCCAGTGCCTTCAGCATGCACTATTTTAGAGTCTTTCTCCATTTAAGTAAAGTCTGTCTTTTGATTCTTCCTGTCACAGTAGGATTTTTGATTCTCCCTACCTCACACTTTCTTACATTAAACTCTGGAATTTTTTCCCAATCATTCAAAGGTTCAAAAATTTTAAATTCCAGGAGTTCTAAATTAGTTAGTGTATGTAGTTCATTTTGCAGTCTTAGAAATGGTGATTTTTCTTCCATTCTGGTCTAACTAAACTGGCATTGTTGCTGTAATAAAATGTTTATACTTTTTGTAAGATATACCATACAATTGAGGAGTTTCATGGAAAGCTAGCAAATGTCTCTTATTTTTGCTGTTGTTGAATAGAGTTCTACAGAAAACATGAGAGAAGGTAAAATAATGCGTCATTCTCTTTGTGTAATTTTAGGATACACAGTTGGTGATAGAAGCCTTTAAATCTGGATTTGAACAGCCTGGTGATGTTGAATTTGAGGATTTCAGTCAGCCTATGAAGCGGACTGTTTCTGAAAGCAGTCTCTCCAATAGTAGATCTGATGGCAAACAAGAATCCAAAGGTGGCAAATCCAAGGGCAAACTCTGGCCTTTCATCAAGAAAAATAAGGTAAAAGCATTCAGCATCTGTGCTTATTAATCTTACAGATGACTTGCCTCATTTAATATATATCATGGTTTTGGGTAACTAATGTAATATTCCATGACTTTGTAATGGGTTTGGTGGCATCACATTGAATCCTTTTTGATTTTACTTGAATTTTTAAATTGTCGTATTGTTTATTTGTGTTTGCATGGTTTGTTACATTTTGCTTTAAAAATCATGTTTTTGTTTTCTATGCTAGTGACTAACAAACTGATCATATTTTTCTACATCATATGCAGCAGCATGTTTTTCTTCTCACTCTCTTACTAAATACCCATTGACATTACTTTTTTTAAACATTGGACAGTCACTTTGTACTTTCCTCTGATTTATTTTCCTCATAGGATTTAGCAGTTCATAGTAGGTATGCCGGCTTAACATCAAAATTTGTTCTAATAATTGATTAGAATATAGGTAATTATCAAAGAGATTATCGTTCACAAAATAAAAGCTTCTGTCAGAAATATATTCTTCTCAGTCATTGGAGGCATTCATATTTTACGTGAATCATTAAAAAATATGATTTCAAAATAAAATTTACGAGCATGAGAAAAATCAGTATAATATGTACCCCTGGCATTTAGCAAAAATTTTTTTCTTAGATATATTCATTATGCAAAATGCTACACCCAAAACCTTCTGTAGTAATATGAAAAAGCTAAGTGTGGAATATGTTAAAATGTAGGCATAAACCATCATGATGGACATAGTAATCTATATTCTATAGGTTAATGTGCAGCTCACCACATTGGCTTTGTATTTTTTTTTTTGCATTGCTTGCAGTAGCTGTGGTTAAATTATGATCCGACACTGCACTTAGTCCCAGTGATCAAGAAATTCATGTCCCCATACGTCGAGATGATTCAGCACCTTAGCCCCATTTAGACTTTTTTTTAATGGGACAGATCAGTTAAGGGGAGCAGGCTACTCTCCTATTGGTTGTATGCGGTCAGATGATGTATAATTAGACAAGGTGGGCTAATATCCCTAACATGTGCCTCAGCCAAATGAGTAACATCATTTGAACGCAGTCTCAAAATACAAGGAAGAGCAAAAAGAAAACTTAGACAGAAAAGGTACATGCAATAATTAAACAATCCTGACCATCGATGTTATACTATATCCTAATGATGGACTACGTTGAACATTTAAATGCAATGAAAAGTATTATGATCCAGCAGGGAAAGTGAGTTGATTCTCGAGCCTCAATAATCCTGGGTCACCGCAAAAGTTAATATTCTAATCAAAACCAAGTTAACAAAAAATACTGACTAGGTTCTTCTTAATAAGAATTGCTACTGTTTATAACAAGTAAATTCTAATCACCAGTAAAGAGCTAAGGATTATCAACATCCGTTTAAAAAATCTAACCCTGATCTAAAACCCCTACACACACACACAAGCCAGAGGCAACAAGAAAAAGTGGTTTTATGGGTGGAAGGTGAAGGGAAAAAGGCTGGGAACTATACTTAATTAACATTAGTCCACAAGGTTTGCTGAGATGATCCTTTTGTTTTGCCAGGATTTTCTGTTCTTCAAACTCATTTCTTCAGGTACCTTTCTAGGAGGCACATGGCTACTGGTACACTAACTGAAAAGTCTCTCTATTACCAACTAAGGGCAACAACTTACAGCAATTGGTGAAAGAAAATAACTGGCTTTCTTCAGGCTTCAGGTATTTTTACTGCAAAGGGGAGACTCACAATATGCCTTTCCAGAGGTCCAAAGGTCTCGCTGTATCACTCAAACCCACGAACTGTTCAGCTACCCAGGAACAAATCAGCTGCTTGTTGCTGGCCAAATCTCACTCTGCGTACACTCCCTAGTGCCAGGCTGTCTATAAACAGCCTCTTTCAGTGCTTAACAAAGCAGCATTGTAAACACTCATACAGTGAATCTCAGTGACTTGTTTCTAAATTCCTTTCACAGCAATTCCTTTCACAATCTTCAGTTTTAAAATGGACCTTTTTCCATTTCAGTCCATACAGAAAATAAAATATTACGGCCTTTACAAGAGGAAGCAGTGATTGTAAAGGCTTCAAACAATGGGAATTTGGTGGAAAATGAATCCAGTGATATGCAGCAGTTTGCTGTGTGGGTACAGCAACTGCTTTTTATGAAGCTGAAATTTAAGTTTGCATTCTCACTCCATGCAACTGAAACCAATTGGTAGCTACCTTTCTGTGAACTAGGCCAATGAACAGGCATTAAGCAGGGTTGTTGGGAAATGGCAATTCATGCCAGAAAAACATTGAGTTGGAGATGTTGCAAGCAAGCACAACTGGAATTCACAGAGTACACTCAAGTGAGGTAGAAATAGTTTGACTTTAGGACGAATGTCCCTGGGAATTACGTGAAGAACAGTGTTAAGTAAATTATCTGAAAGATACATAGACTTCAGGAAAAGATCAGGAAATAAGAGTGCAAAGTACAGTTAGAGACTGAAAGATGGCTAAGTATAGACTTTGGGAATGAAATTTAACAGCCTTTTCCTGTTAACATTTCAAGGAGAAATAGAGGTAAAATAGTTCAAGATAAAACAGACGTTTGGATAACATTGAGATGTGAACTGAGGGAGTCTTCAGTAAAGCCAAGGGAAAAAACAATGTCAACCACTCCACTAAGGCAATATGAAATGAATGAATGAACAATGTAAACAAAGATTTAAAAAAAAATCTAAATTAACTCAACATAGCTTTATATGAAGGGGATAGTGATGTGCTATTTCTGCAGGACTTGGGACTTTCATGCATCAAATTTTGGGCAACTTAGGCAAATAAGTCTGTCCGACATACCACAAACTCTTATCACTCGAGCTCCAAATCTTAGAACTCCAGAGAAGAACAATGCCGGCACTTGAAGAATGGAGATGAAGTATTTGGAGATGGTCTCAGTAATGAGCTTTAAGGGAGCTGGCAGCAGAGAAGAAATGACTGAATAGCCAAAAGGTTTTTTTTTATTTTATTACCATTAAGTTCTTAGAGAGTTTTTTTTTAATTTAGTTTCTTTGGCTTCTCATTCGTAACATTGAGCCAGAAGTCATTGAATTTTAATTTTCTACATTCTTGAGTCCTTTTGGAAACCATTCACTTTAGCCAGAGGAATCTGCTCCTCTGAGAGTTTTAGTTCATGGTATAAGCATGTAGTAACTGTTCTTTCTACCTTGAATTTCTCCAAAGGTCGCATTAGCGCTTATTTAAAATCAAAGTGAAATTCATAAACAGGATCCTGAATAGTGTTTTCAGAAGACCTTTGCCTGGATATGATTCAGAAAGCCATTTGCTCTTGGGTCATCCAGAATCAAATTATAAGAATCTTCAGACATATTTATTTTCCCTCCTGGCTAGGTTATGTGGGTGGATTAAAATCATAGCTAGAAGGGAATTTTTTTCTGTCGCTCCCACTCAGGCATTTGTTCTATACATCTTATTTTTCAGCTGGCCAGAAAGTTATTCTTTTGTGTGAATAGAAATCTCTACATATACCTGTCATAGCTGGTCCTTGTATGTAAATAACTAGATTTCAGAATAAAGCACATGCTGTATAAGGACATGGATTACAAGTATGTTGACTTTACTCATGACGTGTCAAGTAATAAGTTAGACCATTGCCTTCTGTTCTGAAACATGATAAGTCTTGGCATATCTACTGAAGTTTAATTTACAGAAATTCAACTGTGCATGTTTTCAAAACTGTAACTACTTTGCATGAGCTTTCTATCAAAACATTCTTCTCTTATTTCACCTCATTTTTTGTGTTGTTTATTTTGAATATTTTTGTTAACCTTTTTCATCTTATTGTATCAGTGTATTTTTGTTTGCAATATCATGGCTGAAATATTTTTGTTCATAGGCTTTTGTGGTTCTTATTTCTGTTTGCTTTTTCCTCCTTTTGTTTTACCCTTTTTACTTATCCATTTCTTACTCGTAGCTTATGTCCCTTTTAACATCTCCTCATCAGCCTCCTCCTCCTCCCCCTTCCTGTTCCTCACCTTCTGCTGTTCCAAATGGCCCTCAGTCTCCCAAGCAGCAAAAAGAGCCCCTCTCTCACCGCCTGAATGAATTTATGACCTCCAAACCTAAAATCCACTGTTTCAGGAGCCTAAAGCGGGGGGTAAGTTTGCTTTGATCTCTTTGTAATTCTGTTTCAACTTTTGCGTGTCTGTGTGTCTGTGTGTGTGTGTGTCTGTGTGTGTGTGTGTGTGTGTGTGTGTGTGTGTGTGTGTGTGTATGTATCCTGGCTAAATTGTAGAGCAATTTGCAGCAAGTAAAATACTTCCAGTTCTGTCTTGTGTATTACATTGCTTTAAAATGTATGGAAATGCAGCTTAGGTTTTGCAATACTTTCTGAAGAATTTCTCAAAGACTTCTAATAATTTGCTTTAAAAATCACATTAAGGTATTTTCAGTAAGCAGAGGATACGCTTTTAAAATAATTACCTAAAAAGCCAGAGGTGAGATGTATCTCATTTTTATAAAGTGAATTATTATGATTTGTAAGGGATTGCTTGAAAGGGTGATTGAAGCAGATTGAATAGTAACTTTCAAGAAGGAATTAGATAACTACATTCATGGGAGAAAATTGCAGGACCCAGGAGATAAGAATAGAACTAAATAGTTGCTATTTCAAAGAGGCAGCAGAGGCCCAAAGGATCAGAAAGCAGATCTGTGCTGTAATGTTTATGATTATGATATTGCATTGAGTTGATATGGTCTTTGAGGCAATCTTCGAAGCAGTGCTACTCCAGTCTGCTTAGAATAATAACTATTACCAGAAGCACTCCCACTCCATTGTGCTGAAAACTAGGTGAAGCATTGGAGGGAATTATTTCTGGCCCTAAAATATGAGTTAGGAAGGGCGAAAGAGACAGGATTCCCACTCCTGCTGGTTTTCAGTTATTCTCTGTTGGAATATTACTCTATTTAATAAGAATACTGTTTGCTTTGACTTCATTGCATCTCAAACAGATTGCTAACTTCCATTGTTTAAGTGAGAAATCATAAGTTGACCAAATAAGAGAGCTTCTGTCTCTTATGGAATATTCCAGCATTAGGCTGTACCTTTTGAGAGGGGAATACTTTGGAGTAAGTAATTATTATGAAGCATATTAGAAATGTTTCAGTGGAAGGTAATTGATTCAATCCTGTGGTAAATTGTTAGAAATGAGATCTAAAAAAAATTAATACAAAACCAATTTCTAAATTACCTATGATCTCAATGCTACATTTTTCCATTATCCATCTATAGAAAATTTTAAATCTGCTCTGCTCTATTTAAAGGATTGCCACTAACAACCAAGATAACACTTATTATGCACACACTATTTCTCCTACAGATTAAGTTGTTTTCTCACCATCCTATCAGGCCTTTTGAATATGGTTAAGATCTGATAGTATTCCTTTAATAGCTACAATTGGCAATTCACATTTCTTCCAAATTATATATTTTCCTGCCAGTTAATTTTTGTACATCCTGCCACATGTCACAAATGATATAATTTTGCACTAAACAGGTATCTTCCAGAAGAGTGAAATTCTAAAAAGAAGGAATAATTAAGAAATATATTGAAAGCTTAAGTTGCATTTCATGTTGCTCCCACAAGGAAGTTTAGGACAAAACAAATGCAAATGTTTACTTGCTTTTCATTTTAGCAAATGTCATTGCCTTTGTACAATGTGGAAAAAGCTTTCCTTACGTGGAGAATGAATTATTTTAAAAATAAAAGTTAACCAGAGGTTCTAATGGTAGCTAGGTCATCAGTTGACCCTGTGGTGAACTTAATTGCACTATTTGGCCTCTTTCGACAGGCTTAACACCTCAATTTATACTTGCAGAACCTTTGCTTACCAGAATGCTGAACATTGGATGATAAGTGATTTAAAAATAATCTTTTATTCATACTCAGTACTTGAAGAACAAACTCTGGATTTTTGTGAATTCCGTATTATGCAGCTTTCAAGTTACATTTTGACAATACCGGAAATTAATTGTTTATAAAATGTCTACTTTTATTTATTACCTAGTGCAAAAATTGCTGTTTCACCACCATTCTGAAAGGGCAGTTAGTTTTAATTTATACTGTAATGAAGGCTAACAGACAAAGAATCAGATTTACAAACTTCATATTTTTCTATCCATTACATCAAGAACTTAAGTCTAGCAAAATGCTGTCTTCTAGTTTATCTACATCACAGTTAACAGGCTGATTCAGCATTCAATTTTAATATTATCATAAACTGTCTCAATGTCCATTTGTTACATAACACTGGAATACAGCACAATTAAGGAATGTATAGCCAGTAAAATGGAGGAGTTCATTTTAAGCAGCTTGTGAAAAGAATTCATCCTGTTGTGACCCATTTGTACTGAGCAAATTTAGAACACATTCAAAGGTGGTTGTCTTGGATTTGAAATAAACATAAATGTGCAGCATGTATGCTGAAATATAGCCAATAAGTTGTCTCCACTTTCATGTGGAGAGGATTGAAATTAATTTTAAAAAAACAATATTCCTGTTCATAGAGATTTGTTTAAAACTCTGGAGTCTCTTTCTAATTAGACATATTATTTAGCTAACAAATCCTTTTTGAGTAGGAAAATATGTAAGTAATTCGCACTTCGTAGTAAAAATTGTTAGAAAATTAAAACAAAATTGATGGGATCTCCTATCTTTCAGCACCTCAAAAAATATAGAACTCCAAGAAGTTGCAGATGTTGCTGAACAATGCACTTCTTTCACTCATAATGTCAGTATATTTTCAAGAACAGCTTGAATTGTTGTTTGTGTTTTTACAAGAACAATGGTCTAAAATTGTGCGTGACTTTAACTGGGCAAAAAATCTTGGGTATCTACTTCCTTAGAAATAAAGGGAATTTGAAAATTGATTGAGAATAGCTACTTTTAACTGACAATTACAGGACACAATTGACCAAAATGGTCACTTCTTTGACATTTGTGTCCTAAACTACCTTTCTATCACTGATGTTTTAAAGGTATGAACTTTTATGTGCCTGGTGTATCTGAATGGAAACCAATGTCTGGAATTTTCTTTGTATGAAAACTTAAAAGTATGTGCTTATTTATTTTTATACTTTGTTTATTTTGCATTTTCTTTGTTACACATTCTACATAGCATTCTATAATGGGAATTTTAGTTTGAAACAGACATTTTCAATATGTTTGATTAGTGCTCTTCATAATGTCCACAATATCAAACCTGTAAAGAAAATAAAAAATGAAAGTTAAGAATTTCAAAATATATTTCCTCAATCAAGGGTCTGCACAGTATTTTCAAAAGTTACTGCAAAATTTCTTTATCAGGAAAATCCTCCAGTGTATTTCCAAATTGCAAATAATGATGTACAAGTGCCATTATTTTCAGATGGTGCATGATAGCAAAATTGAGAGTTAACCAAGTTAAAATAATCCACTACGTAACACAATGCAGCAAAAAACCTTAGTATGATTACAAAGTGTACAGAAATCAAAGGTGATTATATCTGAATTCCATCCTGAATACTCTTATAATCATTTACAATACCTGTATAAGTGTAACAACATATTGGAAATTTGAATTGACCAAATTGTTAGGTGTAGTGTTTTTGTTGATTAATCCCTATAAAAATAGTACAATTGAAATTTACAAGTCCTAAATCTTTCTACAGATTTAAGCCTTCTGGCAGGAACCAAGTTAAAGAAGGAACCGTACTAGTGAAATAAGAAATATCAAGGATAAATGTGCTCTTGTAAATTATCCTCTGGCATTAGCTAAGTGGAGAATGCCAATCTAATTGCATTCCTAGTTGACACAAGTTGCTCATTTTGGCTAAAGGTATTCTTGAACTGAAATTGACTTGCCCTACTAAATATGCTGCAATATCATCCAAAGGTCTTAACCTTCTACTTATATGAATAAATGCATCTTCCAGACATTTAAATTATTCAAAATTCTTGCACAGTGAAATATATATTTCTCGAGCAGGGAGCATAAGAATAATTGCCTCCCCCGCACTTAGCTTGTTTTACAGAATTGATCAGTTAAAGTTGCAATCGGATCAAGTAATATGGATTATATAGAAGCTCTGCATGCCAGTAGATATTATAGTAGGATCTTAGTAACATGAAGCCTATGAAAAATTTGTGACCAAATGCATCTGAACTTTATTCTGCATTTCTTGTACAGGCAAGTATTTTGCCTATGTAATACGTTTTGTGTATGGATAGTAATTCACAGAACCACAGAATTGTTACAGTGCAGAAGGAGCCCATTTAACATTTCACTTACTGGTATTCTGTTGCTTTCTACCAGCAACCCTGCACATTATTCCATTTCAAATAGCAGCCTAATTCCCTCTTGAGTGGCTTGATTGAACCTGCTTCCCCCATACGCTCAGGCAATGCATTCCAGACTTAAACCACTTGCTGATTGAAAATGATTTTTTTTGTATTGTTTTTGCTTCTTTCACCGGTTACTTCAAATATGCAACCTCTTATTTTCAATCCTTTCATGAGTGGGAGCACTTTCTCCTGATCTACTCTGTTCAGACCCCTCATGATTTTGAATACCTCTACAAATCTCCTATCTTATCTTCTATGGAAAACAGTCCTAATCTCACCAATGGCTTGTCATAACTTGAGTTCCTCATCCTGGAATCATTCTTGCAGATACTTTTTGTACTCTCTCAAATGCTTGTACATCCTTCCCAAAGTGTGGCATTCAACACTAGACACAATATATCAGCTGAAGCTGAAATATTGTTTTATGCAAGCTCAACATAACTTCTTTGCTGTGTACTCTGTGCCCCTATTAATAAAGCCAAGGATAGTGTATGCATTATTAGTTGTGCTCGCAACCTGTCCTGCCACCTTTACTATCTTCAGGACATGTATACATAGGTCCTTCTGCTCCTGCACTCCCTTTAGAGTTAATCTCTTTATTTTATGTTGTGTCTATTTCTTCCTATCAAAATATGTCACTTCATATTTCTCTGCATTGAACTTCATCTGCCAACTAGCTACCCCTTCCACAAATTTGTCTGTGTCCTTTTGACATTCTACATGAACCTCCTCACCATTTATAATGCTGCCAAATTTTATGTAATCTCTATATATT